TTGAAACTTAAAGTTACTCTTTATAACATCAGCTATCTGCTAGTAAGAGTCCCGTTAAAATCGGTCCCGCCGTTTCGGAGATTAGCTGGAACAAATCGACAGACAGACAAATAAAAATTATAAAAATTGTATTTTTCTTATAAGTACCGTATATACTCGTACATATTTACATATGTATTTATTTAAAAGCTGTTATTTGTACATTACAAACAGACACTTTAATTTTATTTATCTGTATAGATAAGTTTGAAATGTCCGCCTGTGATCGCAAAACATTATTTGCACAATAGTAACACCCAAAATATTATAGAACTTTATAATAAAGAATCTGTAAGTAAAGAATTAAGAATGAAGTATAGAAAATAAGCAGCTCAATCTATTTTTATAAGGTTTTGGGAACATTGTGAAGTAAGAGTCGATGCCGAAATGCTAGTATGATAAATTAACAAATATAATGGCTTGTGCCAGCGGTTCCCCTCATGTAGTTTATTTATTTATAACTAGCTATTTACCCGCGCTTTGCTCGTCCCTAGGTATATTTAATTTTTTTTGAGCGAAACCCTAATTCTTTTTCTTGGATTAAAATATCCTAAGTTACATAAGCTATCTACCAGTGGAAGTCCCATATAGATCAGTTCAGCCGTTTCGGAGATTTGCCGGAACAAATAGACACAGACAGACAAAAAAAATTAAATTGTGTTTTTTTAAGTTCCGTATATAATTTCATATGAATTTAATAAAATGCTGTTATTTTGATATTACAAACAGACACTTAAATTTTATTTATCTGTATAAAAATTATCTCGCTTCTAAGGATCGTAGTAATGTTACCTCATTAAATAGGCTATTAAATGCTATTGCAATGCAAACAAAACCGGACTAGTAGTTCGAGAGATAGAGCAAGTTCAAACAAATGAACAACGAACTCTTCGGTTTTATATCTATACATATAATAAAATTCTAACTAAGCCGAATCTGTACATTAAATATTTTTTTGCAAATCTTATTAAAATAGAGATTAAGTATTATCGATACAGAGGCCGAATCTATAGTTTAGAGAATTTTTGTCTGTCTGTCTGTCTGTCTGTTTGTCTGTCTGTCTGTCTGTCTGTCTGTCTGTCTGTCTGTTACCGCATCACGGGAAAACCACTAGATAGATGTTGATGAAATTTGGTATGTTGATTGCTGGTTATCCGGGTCAACATAAATAGGATACTTTTTAAAGCGGGAAAATATCTCATTTCTGAGAAATGTATATTAAACGCTTAGGGACGAACCCGAGCGGAGCGAGGGTGAGTCGCTTGTATAATATATTATTTAAAATTATATTTGAAGACTGTATCTACATATTATTATTAACTGCCACCTTGTGTAACAAAGAGTTACTAAAAACCAATATGTAGCGCCATCTCTTCAAAATATATGTAACTAAACTATGAAGGACTAAAGAATCTCGTACTTTAGTCCTTTATAGTTTAGTTACATACATTTCGAAGAGATGGCGCTACTTATATGATAAACAAAATAAATCCTTAAGTTTGTAATACATGTCGTTCTGAAAAGCAGAAAGTTAATAATAATCTATATACATATAATAAAATTGTAACTAAGCTAAATCTGTACATTAAATTCTGTCTGTCTGTTACGGCATCACAGAAAAACCATTGGAGGGATTTTGATGAAATTTGGTATGATGATAGCTGGTTATCCGGGTCAACATATAGGATACGTACTTTTTACTGCGGGAAAATACCTCATCTCTGAGAAATCTATAGTACTAAACGTTAAAAACGTAAGTAGGGACGAACCCGAGCGGTGGGAGGGTGAGTCTCCAGTTATTTATACTACATAATAAATGCTACATAATAAAACCAATATAATTATTTTTCTCTTCGCAAGTATGGTCATATAACATATTTTCATCAAATTATCACATTTTATCCTTTCGCTGTTGCTATTTAGATGATAATTTTAGTGTTGCTGTGAAAATTATATTATGAACAGTCAGTATCAAATAAACTTCAATTACATAGGTAAACTGTATTAAATATTTAGTTTAGTATAGTAAATTACGTTATTATATAGTTGGTTTAAGCTTTCACTACATCAAAAACTTAATTATTATCAATACTGGGTTATAAAAGGGATTGAAAATTCATATGAAAATTATTTATTTTTACAGTGACCAAAATTGAAAATATTCTTTCTAAATAGTAATGATGACTATTCTAATTCAAAGTATTATACGTCAGCTACGTTTCCTGGGGATAAAACTGGGGACATAATAAACTGCAAAAGCCGCGCGATAACAATAGAAATTCTTTTATATATTTGAAAATTAATACCTTAGGGGTTTAATTTCTAAAAGTTTTTTTACTATCGGATACTCTCTGAGGAAACTAAGTGCCGATTTCAAGTTAGTAAAATTTTTATACTTCCTGAGATTTAGTGAATGATCAGTGAGTATTATTATTTCTCTTTTAAAAAGATTTATTAAATTTCAACATTCACCGTCCATTCGATTCGGGGAATATTGGCTGTGATAGAAGTACGTAGATAGACATGCTATAAATCCATACTAATATTATAAATGTGAAAGTGCGTTTGTTTGTTTGTTTGTTTGATTGTTTGTTTGTTTGTTTATCCTTCTTTTACGTCGAAACGGAGAGATAGATTGGCGTGATTTTTTGTGTGAAGGTAATTGGAGGGCTGGAGAGTGACATAGCCTACTACTTTACCGTGGGAGATTATCTAATTCCCACGGGAAAACACGTTATAATACAATCCAAAAAATATATTTCTGATCAAAATTACTTGAAACTAGGTATTAATGCTCTTCAATAAAATTAATTAAATACGTGTTTTAGCATTTTCTGAAATTTAACTTATAAGTGGGTAAAAGAGGGCATGTAAGTTTGTATGAAACTACCTTTTTAGAAATTGTTTTGTAGTTTTAGCGCGAGCGAATCCGCGGGTTCTACTAGTACTATATATAATATCATAAAGGTTGAAATGCGTTTGTTTGTTTGTTTGATTGTTTGTATTGATGACGGTGCACCCCAAAGGTGTATAGTGGAACTCTTCAATAGTGACTCAACAAAAAAATATATCTATAAAATAATAATCACCAGGTGCCCGAAATTCAAAAATAATCGTGATTGAATTTAAAGAACATATACTCGTAGGTATAAATTTATAATCAGCCTATCAATTTAAAAAACACTTGTCTTCAATTTTTTTTTAATAAAAATTGACATAACTAAATCTCGTCGAATGACAATCGGTTGACAAACAGAAGAGAAAAAGGTCATGAACTGTTTTGTATTTGCTTATTTATATATAGATATTTTGTAATTTAATTTTTAATAATATTACAAAAAATATTAATTAGTATAACTTAATATGTAGTTTTAATATCCTACGAGTATGTATCATTTGGCCTTTCATTTGAATGTTATTTATTCAATGAATAATAATGGGCTTATAATTTTATCAAATGGACTAGCGACTCACCCGCGCTTCGCTCGGGTTCGTCCCTAGCTTGATTCCCTGTGCAAACTTTCATTCCCATTTTTACCCTCTTAAGGGCTGATTTCCGATATAAAAAGTACCCTATGGCCTTCCCAGGGTCTCAAACTATCTTCTTACCAAATCTTATCTAAATAGGTTCAGTAGATTACCCCCTACAACATCACATACTCACAAACTTTACCTTTTTATAATATTAGTATAGATATAAAACTCACAACTTCCTATTATAATTCTAATACTCATCACCTATAAGTGCACGTCATAATTATCTTCTTATTAGATAATTTTTAGCATACTGTGACGTTTCTTTAGAAATACTCGTAGATAGTTTAAATAAATATATTTCGTAGCTGTATAGAAAAATTGCTCGCTTATTGACCATTCATAGATGCTAACTTTATAAAATCGAGATAGATATAATATGAGCTTAGTAAATTATCACATAGTATCTATATAGAAACGTGGACACTCACCGTAGGACTGGTCCACAAGTTTAAGGCCGCTAACCGAGCAATGGAACTAAAACTAAAATTGGGGTTTCTCTGGTAGACAGAATTCAAAATGAGGATATTCGCCAGAGAACTAAAGTTACCGACATACTCGTAGCGCGTAGAATTAGCACGCTGAAGTGAGAGTGGGCTGGTAGGCGTATTGATGGCCGATGGAGCCGACACGTGTTAGAGTGGAGACCATTAGGTAAACGTAGTGTAGGACGCCCAGCTTCACGGTGGAATGACGATTTGAAAAATATGCCTGTTACGGGATGGATGTGAGCATGCCCAAGATCGGCATGGTTGACGTTCTATGTGAGAGGATTTCGTCCAGCAGTGGACGACGATAAGCTGGATAAAAAACAAACAAAAAAAAAATATCGCGTTTTTTACAATTCTATTAAGTAGCTCTGCTCTGCTTTTATTGATAATATGACAGATATTATTTTATATTTCCATTTCCGACGTTATGATTTGTCTGTGTTCAGCCCTTTTTTTAACGTCCCACTGCTGGGCACGGGCCTCCCTTCAATACGAGGTGGATCAGGCCATAGTCCACCACGCTGGCCAAGTGCGGATTGGCGGACTTCACATGTCTTTCGAAAACTTGCTAAGTTCTCTAAGACATGCAGGTTTCCTCACGATGTTTTCCTTCACCGTTAAGACAAGTGGTAATCATATTGGAAATGATTCGCACATGAAAATATCAGAGGTGCGAGACCCGGGATTTAAACCCGCTTCACACGGTTTCCCAAGCGAGCGCGTAACCACTGGGCTACCACTGTCTTTTGATTAGATTTGTCTATTACTTTCATATTATTTTATAACTTTGTAAGTATATATTGTGTGGAACACTTAGACTTTACCGTGACCATGTTTGCTATAAGTATATCAAAAATATAAAATAAAAGCGTGATAAAAACCGAAAAGATAAAATTTCATTTAAAATATATGCATATAGATTTTATTGCCCAGAAAATGTTTAATCCAAGCGAGATTCAAACTTCTGAAGGTTTGTGCACGAAAACACATTACATACTTTTACCACTTTACTGCCTCGGTGGTCTAGTAGCTAGCACGTACGGCTGCAGACCTGGAGGTCCTGGGTCAGTAGTAACCTGGATTGTAGAATTTGGCAGTGTTGCACCCCCAAGTCTCGAAGGCCGTCGGTCCTGCGCCTTAACTCTCATCGGTCATATCGAAGTATCGTCCCACGAACTTTGAGAGTAAAAGGAATAGAGAGTACACTTGTGTCTGCGCGTATACTTGTGCATTATAATATCTCCTGCGCATCTGGCTAGTCTCAGTGTTATTGGCTGCCGTATCCGAATGCGGTCGGGAGGGCATTATTACATTATAGGTATTATTATTACTTTTACCACTTTAATAACAACGATACTTTATCGTTATCCTAATAATTATCCTACTAATAAGCAAACAAATATTACTTCATTACAACAGAAGATATATTTTATAGATATTCGATTATTATTTAATACTTCTATTATATTAAAACAATGTAATTTATTCAAGGCAAATTACTATCTTCCGATCTAATTGATTACACATTATTTATTGTGTTTACAAGGCTTTTAAGGTTTTCTATTCCTAATGTCGCGACTGATTAGGAAGGCGTTGACTTTGTACACCTTAGGCAGTATTTGTTCAAACTTTTTGAGTAACTATTTGTTCTGAGAGGACACGAGGAGGTCAAGGCTTCGTGTAGTCAAGGAGACGCTCGAAGTATTCTAATTAATATCAAGTTTTGATGTTTGCTTTTGAATACAAATATAATAATTTACTACTGCTGTCTTTTTAATGGCATGTGCCTTGTGATTCTATGAACATGTAATTTGAGCATGCTAACTTTTTTTATTTATTCGGGCAAAAATAGCTTTTAAATTATATGCAAATAACGGAAACCGTAAGATTAAATAAAAGTTCGTATACTTGCTTCGGAGAGCACGTGAAGTCGTCGGTCCTGCGGCATAACTCTCACTGGTCGTGACGGGTGGTCGTCTCACCGGAGTATGAGAGTGACAGGAATAGAGAGTGCACTTGTGTCTGCGCGTACACTTGTGCACTACAATATCTCCTGCGCAGTTGGCTAGTCTCAATGAGATTGGCCGCTGTGGCCGAAGTCGGTTATTTGTCATCAATAACTTTAGAATAAATTGTTTAGTCTAATGTCGTCTGACTAGATTTAAGCATTTGCTGTGAAACACAAATAATCTGAGATATATAAACTATCGCGTATATAAAATGTTTATATGTATACCTTTAAGCATTTAGCTTGGAACAAAGAGATCTTCGCAAAATATGCACATGGTAAGAATTGTTTAAAGTGGCAATATTTTATAGGTACCTATCCATGTATGCACGAGAATTGTAAAGCTCGTAAACGTGTGACGTGCATTTTAATACAATGGGCTGCATACATACATTGACTTAAATCAATAAATATTCGCAAATAACTTATGCTTGTTTTATCAGCAAAAATATTTGCTTTTACTATTATATGTAAAGTGTAAAGTGCTAAGATTTTATATTATTTTACCCTCCCTTCGTTTGAATCCTATTTAAAAAAAATGTATTAAAGTAGCCTAAGTTACTCCTTATAATATCAGCTATTTGCTAGTTAAAGTCCCATCAATTAATTTTTTTCAAAGTAATTTGCAAAAACTTCTTTATAAATTCACTTTTTGCTCTGACTGTATTAAGTCAAGTACATACTATACTATGTAGTATGTACGTAGATATCACTTTGTTAAGGTTTCTAGTAAATAACGAATAATATCATAAAATACTAATTACAAGCTACATTGATGTTAATACTACTTAGTTCATTTATTCGTAGGGCAATTTGAAGAATTCAAAATTTTGTTTGACTGAATTTAAACTTACAATGGTTTTTGACTTCAAAGTACGTAAACTTCACTTTCTCATTTTGTTTTGTCTCAAAATGAAGTTTATAGTTAGTAATAAAAACTTTTTAATAAAAAATAAAAACAGACTTCAAAAAAAACACTAAAAAGTAAAAAATAACTGGTTGGTAGTTTTCATTTACTATAGATACCTAAGCTGATATTTACGAAGTCAGTATGCTTTGTGTATCGAATATCACCCTCTTTTTGAAGAAGTCGGTTGAAAAATTAAAATCATGTAAAGTCTAAATTTCTAAGGAAACTTGTTAGAATGTTTTTCTTTTTTTTTTTGATTATTTTGACAAATAAAGTTATACTGGCTGGTTTAGGCTCCTTTCATTTTTATAAAAGCTCTCAAGTGTTTTTTTTATTTTCGTTTAAAATAAAATATTAATTTATTATCATTATAAAGGAAGATTTAAAAACTGAATAAATTAATACAAGCTTGTAATTATTAATAATATTTACATATTTATGTGACAATTATAAAATAACAATGAATAAAAAATAAATTAATATGGTAATATTTATTATTTTTATTATATAAATTATCTAAATAACAACATACTTCACGCTAAGCTAATACTAGAAGGTCATTCATAACAGCACAATGTTTTTATGGAAAAACTATCAGACCTTCAATCTGTTTAAAGTTCATATACACAACTGGTTAAGATCCTAACGCTCCTTGTAAAACCAAGGAATTTTCTCTACAAAGTTCCGAACGCATAAAACTGGCTCGAATAATCAGTCAAGTCACTCTGTCAAAATAGTGATAAAATACTGCTATAAAATTTAACGCTATCATAAATTGAGTTATACGTAAACGGTCCCAATTCGAAAGCTTGCAGTTTTTGGTTTAGTGAACAAATTTGAGGCAGTTTTGAATATGCTGATAAAAGGTCTGAAGGTCGAAGTTTGCGCTTGATAGTAAGGATCAGGCTGTGGGTATTGATACTGGTACTGGTTGTTGAATTGCTTGTAAAATTGGAAGTTGAACCCTGGAGACTCCACCGTGCTGTCAGGAATGACGTTCGATATAAATCCATTGCTATTGACATTATCCACGGGTTGGTAACTTGATGTGTCGCGGAAACCTGCAGCTGGAAGAAGAAATATACATACAGTTAAATATAACCAAAAACCAATAAATGTATCTATTTTAAATAATAAATAATTTATGATTTGCAAGTAAATATTTATATTTAAAATACTTACAGCAAAGTCCGGAATATTTTCTAGAATCGGCAAGTCCATATGCGCTGCAAGATGGATGCCCTTTCTCATACGGATTTGCTCCGATGACGTTACCACCAGGTCCGTAATTGCAAACGTACAGTTTGGTGTATCCTCGGGTGTTATCGTAGTAGAAGGTATAGCCACAACCAACATGGGAAGTTTCTCCCCATACCAGCTAAAAAGACAAGCAACAATTAGTAATTGTTATGTAAACAAATTAAATTTAAAAGAATTAAGATAGTTTTTGAAGTAATTTACCTGAGAATAATGTCCTGTTCCATGTCCACCACTGATTGGCTTGAAACCGTAGATATGGACTTCATCGAACCAAGCGTTGATTTGCTTCATGAAGTCAGGTTCGGAGTCTGCTTGTTCAGATGGTGGGCGAGTAGTCCAAGTGGCTGCAAGGTTTTGCCCCACAGGGAAACGTCCGACATCGCGCTGGGCGGCGCGATCGTGGGCTGTGGTGCACTGGTCAGCCCAACGTTGGGCTGTCACTGCTAACTCATCATCCCACACCTGAAAAAGAAGAAGTAAAATTATAGCCAGATTCAAAAGAAAAATGAAAGGTAAACAAGTTGCTAGACTGCACGCTCGTAGGACGCTGAACCTTCGCGAGGTCAATGTCATTTGTAGTTACGGTCGTACCTTCGTTTGATTTATTGAACACCTTTATTTGTACCGTTTTCCGAAAGTTAAATGCCGAAATTGGTTGTTTAACTTTTAATTACCGTAAGAGTCCATTTTTGTTAATATCCACATAACATGATTATATACGTTTAAAAATTAAATTGATTTATTTTTCGAAAAATCCCGTTAAAAGTTATATCCAAACATATTATCCCTTATACTTTTCACCGTTTAATTTCGTGTCGCGGACTCATTGACATACTTTGAGTGAGATGCACGTGTTGTGAGTATTTAAGTATAATATTATGCATAACGAAATGGTTTTCATCTGACAAAGATCACAAGAATAATCTATAAAAATAAATAAATTAAAAATTAAAAAAAAAAACCTCCGACCATCTTGGACAGATTTACATCAAACATAGCTAAGAACACTCCCGACTAATTCACCTTTCAAACAAAAAAAAACTAAATCAAAATCGGTTCATCCGTTCGGGAGCTACGATGCCACAGGCAGACATACACAGGCACGGTAAACTTATAACACCTCGTCGTTTTTGCGTCGGGGGTTAATAATAGTTTCAAAATTAAAATATGCATAAATTTTAAATCAAAAGATAACAATTCTGTACTAATTTACTGTAGTACTTGAAAGCCTGTATTTATTCATATTTTATATATAAAAATCACCATTTGTGGATTATCGTAGGGGGTAAATTTTTATTAACATTGTTTCATTACTTATCTTTATTTATTACTGCTATTCAAATTAATATCAAATTTAGTATGTATTTTAATTAAGCGGAAAATTTTATATTCTATACAGTAACAAGTGATAAGACAGGTACCTGCTGGAAATATCAATTTGCACATTTCCACGTAATATCACAAAAGGTGTTAAAAGATTCGCATAGTAATACAAATTTGAAATCACTAATCTATTTTTGTATATGCTATCAATTAAATATTGAAACTGGTATTAATTCACTAAGTAGTGGGATATATTTATCGATTACATACCATTTCCATCATATTAGCTGCTGGAGGTTGACTAGACACTTGTCCCAAAGCCACAGATTGTCGAAGACGATTGTGCGCATCGACAATCGCTTGCTTCTCATATGCCGTCAATCCTCCCGATCCTAAAATAAAGAAAAAAATAATAATAAGACCTGTATATTACTAAAACTAAATTTAGTAAAGTAATTATAGTGGATACGACAAAAATATGGTAAAAAAATCATTATATATGAATAAATTTATATGTATATATTTAAAAACGACACGAAAATCTCATAATTTCACTATATGACCATTATGATAGTGTTCTTGATCTTCGCCTTTCAAAATCAAGTGTCAAGGTAAAATTACAATTCTATATATGATTTCATAATACTTTGTATCCGTCTGATTTATAAAACCGGTGCGTGTTTCATAGGTGTCTTTGTCAATAAAATTTTACGAGCTTGTTTGATATGTGTATGTAAAACAGCCATCATCTCTGTTAATAATTCGCTTGCGGAATCTAGACTGGGTGGCGGCGATAAAATTAATAGCTGCTCTGACACTTTTTATTGTATTTTGGATAAATTATTTGATATTGTATGGTATGGTATGTTCGGGCTGTTTTCCGCAACTCGACGACTATGCGCCTATTTTGCGTGTATTTGATATTGTATATAATTATTAAAAATATAAATGTATATAAAAATTATTTAAGTAAATATTGACATTTTAATGAACATTTAAAAGGTTTAAAAAATAATAATAAATATTTATTACAAGAGAAAAAAAATCTTATTCATAATATGCTAATTTATCATATAAAATAAAAATTATCGATTTTAAAATCATATACTGTTATATCAATTAATTCAGACTTATTAAAAAAATATATATAAATTAAAAAAAAAACGTCCACTTACTTAGCATCTGCTTGCCAACTCCGCAGCCCTCTGTTGCTACAAGGATACCTCCCAAAACAAACACTAGGGTAATCATTTTAAATTATTTTTCACTAACACTTTTAACTGAAATTGAAAACACGATTTATGTTTGCGATTCGTAACAAAAGTTCTCACTAATATTTACGAAACGTCAAATTTCAAATTCGCCGGTGGTCCGCTGCACTGCGTGCCGCGCGCTCTCCGGTCTATAGCGATCTGTGTGGTTTATTAGCACGCACGCGCTTAAATAGCAGTCACCGAGTTGCCATGGAGACGCCGCGACGCCACCACCCGCCGTTTCAGATCATCGTCACCGCCTCACTGCATCGAACCCTAATACAATGGGCCAAACAAAAATTCACCCTGAAATCCAATCAAGCCATCAATTTGGTTAGAACTCCTGCTGAAGTACATCCTCGAAGAATATCCACAGGTATTGTTCATACAATATCTTCAGTTACGAAATAAATAAAGGTTAAGCGATAGTCGTCCAGTCAGTTTTTATCTGCAGTAATAATTTAAAACTCATTATTCGGCAGCCGATTGTTGTCAATGAAATCGAGTTCTTGTGATACGTTCGAGCCAAAGGTGGAAATATGTTGACAGATATTGGTCGGAACGGAAGTGGTCTTTAAGTAAAATTATAGGCGGCTAAAAACAAGGAAAGAACAGCCATTTATGAGTCAAAAGCTACTTTATTTTATGGCTGTGCAATATAAGGGAAGATGGGCCTTTTCGTCGCATAGGTATTTGAACTATTCGGAAAAAATCTCCATTATTTGGTAAATATCGGTGGTACTGGAAAAAACTATTTTATTTAATTAGTCTATCGTCACAACGGATTTAGTTAGAAGTTATTTTTTTAATTTATTTTTCTATGAGACGATTATTTTTATTTGTCATACATACGGTTGTCTATTATTTCGCAAGAAACTCACCATGCTGGAATACAACAGGGTATCAACTCATATACTTTAACAAGGAAAAATCCAAAAACGTTAAAGGAATATAATCAATATAAAAAAGTAAGATAGAAAAAGAATTGAGATGAAACAGTGATAAAATCAAGTTTTACAATTAAATTTCCAAAGGTAAAATTACTTGAATTAGGAGACATCTTGTCTGTTACCAGCTGATCCGGTTTACCACCTGAGGTAGATTTTTGCTCGTGGTTTAATAATTTACATATTAATATCTTTTATTTCATATGATAGGTAATGGATTTAGCACAAGATTTCATCAAAGAAATTGATATATTATTTTTTCGTCTGAAATAAACTAAAGAATTTTTAGAAGAAGCTTAGTTTTGCTTTAGTATCTGTAGATTACTATTTGCCCAGTGGTAACGTGCTCGCTTGGGAAACCGAGTGAAGCGGGTTCCAACCCCTCTGATATTTTCATGTGCGAATCGTTGCCAATACCACTAGTCTTACGGTGAAGGAAAACTGCAGTCTGAGAGAACTTAGCAAGTTTTCTAAAGACATGTGCAGTCCGCCAACCCGCACTTGACCAGCGTGGTGGACTATGGCCTGATGCCCCTCGTATTGAAGAGAGGCTCGTGCTCAGCAGTGGGACGTTTAAAATGGCTAAATAGACGGAGAAAGATCGACTTGTAGATTCAATAGCACTATTATTAATTTTATTAATTAATGAAGATCTTAAAGGTTTCTTTACCGCTTTAGTATCGGTTTTTATTATTACTTACGTTTTAAAAGATTTGTGGATATACATATTTATTATTTTATGGTGTACAACTTAATTAAATCCAAAAAATAAAAAGTAGTGGGAAAAGGTATATTAGCAGCTGTAGCTAATAAATATATATAGCTTAATAAGTTCAAAGACCTTATAATTAAAATTAGAATATGGTTATTACATAATCTCTCTCTCAATGCTAGAAATCATAAGACTATATAGATTATATTTTAAAACTAGTTTTAATATTGTTTACATATTTTTAAATTTTTTGCAGGAATTAAATCAATTTTCAAAACCGAGTGGAACATTTTTGAGGTTTATGTAAAATCCTATGAGTCAATGATTCACTTTACTTTGGTTTGATTTTATTTTACGTAATATTAAAGATTCAGAACAACGTGTTTATTTTTCATGCATATGGTTAATTAACTAAAAGATTATATAGAAGACTAACGATTCACGGTCTCGGGTTAGTCCATAGAGTATATTGCTACATATATAAAGGTTAGTTCCTAGGTATGTTTTGACGGTTAACATAGATTTCTCAGAGATGCGATATTACCTAGCACTAAAAAGTATCCTATATGTTGACCCGAATACCCAGCTATCACCATACCAAATTTCATCAAAATCTGTTCGTGGTTTTCTCGTGATGCGTTTCCAAACCGACAGACAAACCGACAAAAATCTAAAAACTATAGATTCGGCTTCTGTAATGATAATAACGACTAATTCAATTAGATTTTCCAAAAAATATTTAATAAACGGATTCGACTCAGAATTTTATTATATGTATTATGTATAGATATTATGCTATTTTTTATCTCAGTAAATTATGTAGTTTCTATAGAGTAATCGGAAGTTACTATGTTATGGAGATTACTTAAGAATACTTGAGGCTTAGTGTGGACCTAAGTAATAAAAAAACATAAATATAAATCATGAGTAAAATCTTAGCAAAACACGACAAGGGCAAAATAGAGAACAAATATTTGTCAGACAAAGAGTCTTTATTAAACTTGCCTCTTCTTTTGTATTCGAAAAACGTATTTAGTATTTTATGTTTATTTATATACGAACTTATCTCATTGCGGATAATTTAAAATGTCAAAACAGGTGGATTAAATGCATGACTCGCATCAGGAAATGATCAATGAATCGGATTGAAGTTAATACCTCTTTACGTTTGTAAATGATTATCAAGAATATATGATATAGAGTTATCAGACGTTATTAACATTTTATCTTTGAATCTTTGGTTATGTTCATATTGTTACATCTTCATATTTTAGTTTACAAGCTCACATTTTACATTTTTTTTTCTTCTTGTATTTGATATAAAAACTTTTCGTCCGATAGAAATAATAGCGATATGAATTCAGGGTGGCTGTAGATATTTAATCTTTGTTCTATTACATTACAATGTTTATTTTAACATTTAAACAGCCTGGATTCACATTACTTCTAAAGATTGCTATTTATATATCGTCAGTTATTGGTGTAATGAATGTTTTAATATTTTTTGTATAAAATCTAGCAATAGAAGCTTTTTATACATAGTTTTGGCTATAGTAGTTTATCCAAGGTTAAATTAAATCCTTCAAAAGACATTTACTATTAAGATTTTTCAGTATATTAAAAAAATAATAAGAGTACGCCTTTATAGCCCAAAGACAAGAAAAGCTGTTACCAAATATCAAGTATATCGGAACAGGAAAGTCATTACGTTCTTTCACGTCTTCTCCACAAAAAACTGTGAAGTTTTAGACAACTTGATATACATAAATTAAAACTTCAATAGATATCGTGCATTCACGGCCAATACGTGTTAAAGTACGCTATATTTGATTATATACATATGTTCATTATATATGTACGAGTACCTACTGTTTACTCACGAATAACACATTACATCCTGCTAAAATCTTGTATAAATAGTGTAAGAAATATCGATTAATATATGTGTAACTATGTTTTTTTGTATACATTGTTTTAAACATTTTACTCTATTAATTAAATTATTTAGAATAGACTTAATCTTTTTAAAATTTAAAGAAGGTCAAGCTAAAAGTCTGAGGACCCTCGACGAGCATGTATGAAGCTCGGCTTATGAAGCTCGGAACCTGTTCAAGTTTTAAACCGGTTTTGGTTATTGGCCCACAACCGAAAGGCTTTTTGGTTTAAAGTTTCGGTTACGTTATTTAACCGGTTAAATCCGAAAAACCGGTTTATGATGAATTTAGGTTTCATGAACAAAATTAACCGGTAAAATTAGTTCGGTGCGTTTACATTTGGCACGTATTTGCTATGTCCGTTTCTTACTTATGAATGAATTAACCGGTTTATTTCAGTATCAACTCCGATATCCAACCTTTTTCTAAGAATATCATTATTGTTTCAATTTACTGAACTATTCGTTTTCATTAACCAGTTAAAGAACAAGTGATAAATTAATCATTATATTACCTAAATAAACCGTGTTTTTTTTAAATCGGTTCCGAGTCCTGGTATGAAGAGAATGACTACAACGATGGAAGATCGATAGAGATATTATGTACAGATCGTAGCACTCTTTTAAAAAGCAAAATATACAGCGTGAAGTTTTATAAAAAATAGTAATTATTTTCTCAATTTAAAACAGTATATACTATATAATATATTCAGAAAAAGGAGCAACTCCTGGTATTAACTTTAATATCAAATAATACGTGTATGAGAATAAAAACTATGAATAAGTATGCAATGAATTAATTAAGTATTATAGTTAAGTTAGAGTCGTCGTGGTTAAATAAGATAGTGGTCCTACGGCTTCCCATTAGGATAGGTAGGGTTCCTTTGAGTTTTAATGAGTAATACTGGTTTTTCCAGTCAATAAGTAGCCACATAAGCATCTGAATATATGTGCAGATAATTAAAATATAAAATATAGATTTCTTTTTCTTTAAACACCTATTTCAATATTTTATAGTTCAAGAGTCAACTTTTAAGTTTAAATAGAAATATTGAAATCATAAAAAGTAACCAACCAAATTTATATCAATATCTTCTTTGCTAAAGTTTAAATTTAGAAAAAAAAAACTGTTTTTATCGAAAATTTAAACTTCATAGTAATTTGCAAACATCCAATTTAAGTATACCTAGCTCAATGTCAATTGACGTACTTAAAACTTAAAAACCACATCCTTGTCGATGAATAGTATTATTTAATGCTACCACTTATTAATTTTTTTTAAATTTCCTGCTACTAAATAAACAGGCAAATTGGGGAAATTAGTAAGACAAAATCATAAGGATTCTGATAATTTAAGTTTACCTGTTACAAATCATTAAAATAAATAAAAGTCATTGTACCGCGTA